CCACCCACCCCCTTTCTCATCTTTTAACCAGTTTCTTTGCGCACTCCCTTCCCTGGAAGGGAGGGAACAAGAGCTAAAAGGGTCAAATATTACCTTTATTTTGTAATCGTCACCACCAGAGACAAACAGAGGCTGCTGTTTGTGGAAATCAATACCTCGAACAGGTCCTACAAAATAGGAAGAGCAGGTTGGACAAAGCAAAGTGGCTGGAGCAGTCCTTTGTATGACTTAAAAATTGCATTCTTCCTAAATCCTATTGCTATTGAAAAATTAAGAGCTTCAAAGCAACAACAAGAAGTCACATACAGTCTGAGATCCCATTCCCAAACCTGTTTCTTTCACGGAATCACAGAATGGTTTGGGTTGGAAGGGACCTTAAAGACCATCTAGTTCCCCCCCTGCCCTGGGCAGGGCCACCTCCCACCACACCAGGCTGCTCCAAGCCCCCTCCAACCTGCCCTTGAACCCCTCCAGGGATGGGGCAGCCACAGCTTCTCGGGGCAACCTGGGCCAGGCTCTCACCACCCTCACACCAAAGAGGTTCTGCCCCACAGCTCAGCTCAATCTCCTCAGTTTTGGTTTAAAACTCTTCCCCCTCATCCCATGGCTCCACTCCCCAAACACCATCCCTGGAGGGATCGAAAAGCCGGTGCTGAGGGACACGGGGCAATGGTGGGTTGGGCAGTGGTGGGTTGATGGTTGGTCTTGATGGATGAACTTGGAGGTCCCCTCCAACCCAGGGAAGTGGTGGAATCGCCAGAGCATCACAGAACGTTTGGGGTTGGAAGGGACCTTCAAGACCATCCGGTTCCATCCCTTCTAGTGGAAGGGACATCTTCAATGAGACCAGGTTGCCCCAAGCCAACTCCAACCTGGCCTTGAACCCCTCCAGGGATGGGGCAGCCACAGCTTCTCGGGGCAACCTGGACCAGGCTCTCACCACTCTTACAGTGAAGAAGTTCTGCCCCACATCTCATCCAAATCTCCCCTCTTCCAGTCTGAAGCCATCGAGATGCCTGCAGCAGCCCTTCACAAAACATCCTGGCCCTTTTTAATACGAAAGGAGGGTGTAGAGAGATGGGGGTCGGTCCTCACAAAACATCCTGGCCCTTTTTAATATGAAAGGAGGGTGTAGAGAGGTGGGGGTCGGTCTCTTTTCTCAAGTCACAGGCGACAGGACAAGAGGAAATGGCCTCAAGTTGCCCCAGGGGAGGTTCAGGCTGGATATTAGGAACAATTTTTTCCCTGAAAGGGTTCTCAGCCCTTGGAATGGGCTGCCCAGGGAGGGGGTTGAGGCCCCATCCCTGGAGGTGTTCAAAAGCCGGGTTGATGTAGTGCTGGGAGGGATGGTTTAGTGATGATGCTCCTTGTTTGTTGTGGGGGTGTCTATTTTTGTCAGTGAGGTTGACGGTTGGACAAGATGATCTTTAAGGTCCCTTCCAACCTCGAAGATTCTGTGATTCTGTATTTGCAGGTTCATTTTCATAGCAAACCCAAAACAATTACCTCACTTCATGTGCAAAACAAGCCAGCAAATTGGCCACAAGGAAACATAAGCTAAAATAAAGAGGATCTGCAGTCAAAGAGGCAGAAGCCTCAGAAGAACCTCCCTTCCCCCTCCTGCACCCTTCTCTTCCCCCACAACAGGTTCCCAGCACCTTCCCCCCGCGCACACTGACCATCGTGCTCGTCGAATTTGTCGATGAGGGTGCACATCCGATAATCCCACAGCTGGATGACGCCATTGTGCAGGCTGGTGAGGATCCAGGGCCGCTTGGGGTGAAAGCTGAGCCCTGCCGAGGCACAGAGAGACGTGACAGCGAGGCCTCGGCTCACTTGGGAGCCCAGAGGCCTGGAAGAGCCCCCCGGCCTCCCCCACCCAAGGACCCTCGGGGGGGGAGCGGAGACCCCAGCGCTGCCTCCCCGGTTCCCTAAGGGTTCCCTAAGGGTTCCCTAAGGGTTCCCTAACGGCTCCCGGCACGTCCCGAACCCACCGTTACCTTTCACCCGGGCCGACTTAGTCTCGAATTTGGTCAGCATCGCCCTCCTCCTCCTCTGCCGCCACCGCCCTCAGCTCCTCCGCCGCCGCCGCCCCGACCCTCCACGTCGGCGCCCCGGAAGTGCCCCCCGCTGACTTCCGCTTCCGCCGCCACCCGACCATAGAGTCTGGGTCCTCCCGTCGGCGCAGAGCGGCCCCCCCCACCCCGTGAGGGAGGAAGCGGAAAGGGCTGGGAAGATGGCGGCGGCGGCGGCGGCGGCGGCGGGGAGATCCTGGGGCAGCCGGGGGATGGAGGCCGCCGCGGGGAGTTGCCGGGCCCCGCTCCCGGCCTGGTGGGGGCTGCTTCTCGCTTTGCTGCTAGCGGGTGAGGCTCAATGGGAGAGGGGCGGGACGGGACAGAGCAGCCCTCGCCCGGTTCGGGGCCGCTCCGCGCCTGAGGCGGAGGTAGGGAGGGCCTCGTCTGGCTCCATTTGAGAGGGTGGCGCTGGGAGCCCTCGCCTGTCCCCCCTCGGGGTTGTGGAGGGGCTCCTCTTTCCCACCTGAGTTGGGGAGATGCCTTTTGAGACGCGGGGACCCCCTAGTTTGTCCCTCTCTGAGGTGAGGCTGTGTCTTCCCCTCAGGCTGCTGCCAGGGGAACTCTGTGGAGAGGAAGATCTACATCCCCCTCAACAAAACGGCGCCGTGCGTTCGCCTCCTGAATGCCACCCACCAGATCGGCTGCCAGTGTGAGTACAGGTGTTGCCTGGATCAGTGTTGTCCTTATTCTCAGCACCATTTCCCCTTTTCCATCCCTGCTCCGGTCATGCTTAATATTCTGACCCATTTCTGGTAAACTGAGGGGTGGACACCTTAGAGATCGTGTTCCTGCAGACCTCGAAAATTCCCCACCGAGGTAGAGAGCAGTATTTTGAGCTTGTGCAGTCAGTGCATGTATGGAGTAAAACCACGCCACAGCTTCTGGGGGTGTGAAGCAGAGCTGTGAGGGCTGTGGGACACGTTGGGGTTAATGAGGTACGAGAGAAAGGGACCGAAAAGGGAGGGAGAAAGGCTGGGGAGAGCCTGTTTAGAAAGGCCTGCAGTGACAGGACGAGGGGCAATGGCTTCAAGCTGGAGGGGAACAGATTTAGACTGGAGATGAGGAGAGGGTTCTTCACTGTGAGGGTGGTGGAGCACTGGGACAGGTTGCCCAGGGAGGTTGTTAAGGCCCCTTCCCTGGAGATATTCAAGGTGAGGCCTAGTGAGGCCTGATGAGGCCCTGGGCAACCTGGTCTAGTTGGGGGTGTCCCTGCTGACTGCGGGGGGGTGGGACTAGATGGGCTTTGGAGGTCCCTTCTGGCCTGGGCAATTCTATGAGTCTATGAAAAGGTGAGAAGGTGACATCATGACCCCACCTGGAGCACTGTGTCCGGCTCAGCACAGGGAGGATGTGGATCTGTTGGAACGGGTCCAGCGGAGGGACCACAAAGATCATCAGAGGGATGGAGCATCTCTGCTGTGAGGACAGGCTGAGAGAGCTGGGGGTGTTTTTGCTGGAAAACAAATCATCTGAGGAGCGGCTGAGGGAGTTGGGGCTGTTTAGTGTGAGGAAGAGGAGGCTGAGGGGAGACCTCATCACTCTCTACAGCTCCGTGAAAGGACACTGTAGAGAGGTTGGGGCTGGTCTCTTCTCACAGGTCATTAGTGACAGAACGAGAGGGAACGGCTTCAAGCTCCA